TTCTATTGGACAATTTTCATGTATGTCAGGAATCAAGCCATAAACTTTTTCACAACTCTCACATGGTTTTCCTATTATGCTGGCTGAAGATTTTGGAGGATGGGTCCAAAAAGTCTCTATTCCAAGTCCTTTTTACCAGTATTATTACTGTCCATTCATATATAACATTTTCCTTTGCACTACTGTTCAGAGGAACAGGGGTGTCCCCAAGTTTGGGATGAAAAAATGAAGCTGGTGGCAGTAACATTCTGACTGAAACTATGCACCACACACACACATACACACACACACACACACACACACACACACTGCACAGCTTCAATCAGACTGGTGCAGCCACCAGCTTCACTTTTTCAACCATACCTGGGGACACAGAGAAAGGTGATAACAATTTTAGGAAGCACCTCCAAAATGAGGGACGGAATTCATCACTTAAAAATGAGGGAATGCTGAACTGTATAGAATTTGTACATACTAATTTCTAAGTATGGTTTTAATAGAAATACCCATGTTGGTATGAGTTGATGATCAATGTCATTTCAGTATACAGTCTAGAGTAAGGTGACCAACTTTTTTACAATGAGAAGGAGGACACGTGCGTGTGTGCCGTGTCGTGTTTTGGTAAGAAGTAAACAAAGCCACTTGCACGCGGTGCACTCTCTCAAAACAATTCTTCTGTGTGGAGCGCATACATCTCATAATCATGTCTCGCCGCACTTTACCGAGCCTTGACAAATCGTCATGTCAAATACAAATATAGAGCCGAGGTGGCACAGTGGTTAGAGTGCAGTACTGCAGCTACTTCAGCTGACTGCTAGTTCAGCAAATCAGCAGATCAAATCTCACCGGCTCAAGGTTGACTCAGCCTTCCATCCTTCCGAGGTGGGTAAAATGAGGACCCAGATTGTTGGGGGCAATATGCTATTTAGTATACTGTCTTTGGTGTAAGCCGCCCAGAGTCCTCGGAGAGTGGGCGGCATAGAAATATGAATAATAAAAATTGAAAAAAAAATATGTCACATCACACGCAACGGATCGGCTCAGCATAGATCGAATATGGAGATTTACAGATTAGTCGTCAAATATCGAAAAGGAGGACATGTAGGAGGAGACACTTTTTGAGAGAGGACAGAACTTACAAAAGAAGGACTGTCCTCCCTAAAGGAGGACGATCAGTGACCTTAGTCTAGAGCAGTGATGGTGAACCTTTTCGGCACCGAGTGCCCAAACCAGAACATGCATGCATCCACGTGTCGGAGCACCAGAAACCCAAAGACCAGCTGGGCGATGTGCATGCCTATTTTGGGGGCATTTTTCAGGCCATCTTCAGGCCATTTTCAGGCCGTTTTCGGGCTGTTTTTGGCCTGAAAAATGGCCAAAAAACAACCCAAAAAAGGCCTGTTTTTTGGCTTTTTTCAGGCGCTCCACTGCCTGCAAAGTCCAGCTGACCAGTGTGTATATGCACACCAGAAACCAGAAGAGCATTTAGCGATGGCATGTCTGCCCACAGGGAGAGCTCTGCATGCCACCTCTGGCACGCGTGCTGTAGGTTCGCCATCACGGGTCTAGAGCCTACTTGTTTGATGCAAGAAACCAGCAATATCTCCTTTTCTTCAAGTTCTTTAAATTGGACTTGGAATGGACCAGGGAGTGGGTTCAAATAGTGGTCCGTCGTCTCCTTTTTTAACTTATAGCTTCTTTGTCTTGCTTTTTCATTATTAAGTCAGAAAAGGCAGATGAATAGCCAAGAGCACAAAGGAGGAGGAATAATAGTAGGTTATGTGACTCCAAAATTGGCAATAGGACTTCAGTGGTTTTTATGGGCTTTGGTAGACAGTTTATGATGCTGACAGTTCCATATTCTAACTATAACTTTTTCTTGCAAAAAAACCTGAATGGATAATTTTTTCAGCACTGTTTTTGAATCTTATGGAGTAGTCTCTGTTTCTCTGTGAATATACATACACACATACATATATATTATAGACATTAAAAATGGATGTGGAGAGAACACATACACATAAAATTTAAAAAACCTTAAATTTCTTTGGGCAGACAAAAAGATGCCCTCAAACCCATATTCTAAGGAACGTATAAGGATGAATTTTTATGTTTACTTGATATTCCCCAAATGCGTATCTCGTTTATTCATTTCCTCTGCATCAAAAAAGCAGCAAAACATTTATTTTGTTTAAAATAAATTGATTTGTTTGATGTGGCTTTTATTGGTTCTTTCAAGTCAGGAAATAAATATCTCTAGCTCTTGCCCAGTTTTTTAAACCTGGTGGAATAATTTAAATTGTGCATACTCAAAATCTTACATTATTTCTATGATCTATAGCCTAAGGCAGGAAAAAAAAAAAACCATACTTTTCCAGTTTGTATCTAGTTTAATTCAGTCTAGAATGTGACATCGCATGGAATAGCCACATAAATTTACCAGGTATCTTGAGGTCCACTGTTTCTCAGCCAGAGTAATAAGGACACCTGTAATAACAGCCTGTAGATAGAAGGGAAAACATATGGATTTATATCATAAAGTGAACAACATTAATAGTCCCTATGTTCTTTCTGAAGTATTTTGCAGAACAGTCTTTAAACAAAAAAAAAAAAAGCACAAGGAAGCAAATTTACTAATATCAGAAAAACTTTCTACATCATGTACAGGAATGATTTGCTATAGATTCTTGGTCATCCAGGTCATGGTTGTCCCAAAGGTGCTTTTTCAAAAGGCAACTGGACTTCTTTTGTTTTTCCTTGAAGACTTTCGGGTCTCATCCAAGCAGCTTCTTCAGATCTGACTTTTGAAAAAAATACCGTATGTTCGGAGTATAAGACGCACCTTAGTTTTTGGGGAAGAAAATAAGAAAAAAGTTGATTGGTGGGTGGATCGGCCTCCCAGGTGAATTTTAGCAACAGGTTCGTTGGTTGCGAGCTCTGTGCCTTGCTTGTTTTTCTGCCTCTGAAACTTCTGAAACTCTGTTTCAGAAAAAAAAACTTTTTTTTCTGCCTCTGAAAGCCTCAGAAACAGAGCTTCAGAAAAAAAAACCTTTTTTTCTGAAGCTCTGTTTGGAGGCTTTTTTTCTGAAGCTTCTTTCAGAGGCTTTTATTCTGAAGGAATTCTGTACTCCGTTCGATCTCCTTTCTTTGGTATTGATATATAGATTAACTTCCTCCGATTTGTTGGTTATTGTGTCATTCTCCAGATTTATTAGCATAGTTTGGTTAGAACTTTACTGATTCTTCTTTTGTTGCTTGCTATATTATTTTAGATAAAAGCCTTTTTTCTAAAGCTTCTTTCAGCCTCTGAAATCTCCGTTTGCGAGGCTGAGCGGGGCTACATTCGGAGTATAAGAGGCACCCAGATTTTCACCCTCTTTTTGGGGGAGAGAAGTGCATCTTATACTCCGAAAAATATGGTAGCTTTGCGATTTGGTATGAAATTTTTCTCCTTTTTTTGTGTTTTTGTTTTTTAAAGAAAAAGTCTTACATGTTTTTTCTGGTACTCAGATTTAGTTAGGTTCCTGTTAAACCATAATTAAATAGAGATGATATTTGAAGTCTATAATGACTCCCAGTGATTATTCCAATGGGATATCATGTGGTAAGGAACCATGTGATAGCTTATTCATGCATTTTTTTTCCCCTTCACCACATACCTCCTGCAGATCTGACCCATAAATTCTATTAGTTTAAGTTCTAAATTCCTGCATCAGTGTAAAATAGTGAGAGCAAATGAATTTTCAGTATGTTCAATGTTCATTAAGTTTGGGATTCTACTAATCCCAAAATGGAAAGATAAACAGAGAATGAAATAAGAAATCAGGAGCAGCAGCCACTCAGTTTTATAAAATTTTGCTCTAGGGATGTAACAACAAATTTATAGCCGTTCTAGATATTCATAAATTTGAAAATGACTGGCCAATGTTTGGGTGTATCTCCAAAAACAGCACTCCATCTTTGTGTCATGGGTTTAATAAGAATGAAGGAATGGGATTCTCTGAAATTTGCATCCATCTGAAGGTGGTTAAGCTGGAAACAATGGTTATGGAAAGGTATAGTAATAATTAACCAACTAATTTGCCAAGAGGATGAATGTAATTGCAAAGCATAAGCCTGGCGACTAAAACATATGAAGAATGGTTGCAGGATTTGGGAATGGCTAGTCCCGTGATGGCGAACCCATGGCACGCGTGCCAGAGGTGGCACGCCAAGCCCTCTCTGCTGGCACATGCGCTCTCACCCCAGGTTTGAACTCTGTGGCATTTCTTTCGTGAGTTTCTGTTTCCCTGCAAACAACAAAACAGAAGCTCACGAAAGAAAAAGATCTTAACTCTTGTTGCGCTGCCAGTGTTGGGATGCCCCGCCTCCTGCCAGCCAGGTAATCTTTGGGACTCTGCTGTGCATTTCAGTTTGGGCATGTGAGCATGCACAGTTTGGGCACCACTCTTAAAGGTTCGCCATCACTGGGCTAGTCTAGAGAAAAGAAGGACTAGGGGGAACAGTATGCAATGGCACGGTGGGCCTGGTAGGCCCATTTTTTGCCCTCCCCAGGCTTGAGCCTTTCTAGGACCCTGGGGAGGGCGAAAACGGCCTTCCCCACTCCCCCGGATGCCCTCCAGAGGCCAGAAATGGCCCGTTTGCCAACTTCCAGTGGGCCCAGAAGGCCCAAAAATCAGATGGTGAAGCTGAGCTCGCGTGCCCACTGATATGGCTCCGCATGCCACCTGTGGCACGCATGCCATAGGTTCGCCATCACGGGTATAGGGTCTCCTAGTTGAACAGGGTGTTGACCAGAAGACCTCCAAGGTCCCTTCCAGCCCTATTCTACTCTATCCCCCATAGTATGGTTCAAAAAAAATTGATGATACAAGAGAGATTATAATTTAATTTGATCCTATATGTTAAATTTCCTTTTTTTGTGCTCCAGACAGGAAAGAGTTAATTCAGTGAACAAGAATACGAAAGCTCTAATTACCATTATTTATTAGAAAGAAGGTTAGGGATACAACATAATAATTTCTCTACTTTTAATGAGTGCTCTACTTTTAATGAAAATCTACATGGGCTATCTATAATAGTAAGGTATTTGTCCATTTTCTCCATGCATTGAGAGAAAGCTCATGGATATACAGTATGTATTTGCTCATTGTTTTGATAAATGATGCTCTTTTTATATAATTCTCAAAGTAAGAGCAGCCTTACTAAAGTAAGTACCAGTCAGATTGTTGAATTCTAGGAGTGCAATTTCAGTTCATTAGCCAGGCTGCAAAAAGGGAGTACACAACATTTTCATCTCCATACTTAAAAATATGGAGCTTAGTGCTTATAATATATACAGTATATATTATAAGATAAATGGATCATGTCATCCATTTCTCTTACAATATTTCATAGAATAAAGCGGGGGAAGATATGTGTTTGCTATTCTGGGCAATCTTAATGTCATATTTATTTCTACTTTGATAAAGTAGTTATGCAACGGCACATCAGTTTGGCACAATAACCACTTGGCGTTGTCCAACTTATGAAATGTCAAAAATGACCAAGAATGATTGTCCCTGTAGGCAACAGGGAAACAAGCAGAGAATTATCATTATTTGTATTTAGGCTGTTAAGGATATTGTTGTGTTAACCAACCAGCAGAGTGTAGAGGACAAGGAAACGGTGCTGAGAGCAATGAATAAAATACATACAAACTGGTTTATCAAAGTTTTTACTTTATAGTGAAAAACAATCTCATAGCCTTTAATCAATCCAAGTTTTTGCCAGTCAAATCAGTCCAGTGATACAAAAGTCTTCTTACCATACAAAACAGCAGCAGGTAATAAATAGCAGCACATACACACTGATAACAGATCACAATGGTAGCATATCCATCCACGATGATAGCATCTCCACACACGATGGTAGCATATCATCAATGACTACATTTCAGCTCCCTTCTTAAATACAGTTACAGCAGAGCTTATCCAATCAGGATACAATGACTCAGCATTATTATGACTCAGCAGTACTTCTTAAAGTCATAGAATACATATTCATGTTAAAGTCATAGAACACATATATTGCCTGGACAACCTGTTAGACATACACCATATCCTAACATTCTCCCCTTTGGACAGGCCAATATATAACAGTTCATATTCTCAAGCCATAGCTTTCGCAACACATCTTATGTTTGACTGCACCCTGCACTTTGGTGAAATTATCGGCAATATTATTTTCGGACATACAATATTCCAGCTGGACCATATCGCTTTGAATACTCTGACGAACATTTAAATAACGAATATCAGTATACTTAGACCTTATCTTAACCGCTAAATTGAACTCTATTTTAATGCCAGTGATATTATTTCTGTGATCAGGGATGACAGATATTGCTTATTAAATTGCCCTTTCATTACAAAAGGATGAAGTCTTGCTTGTTTTGAATATCTCCCTCTCCCTGAAGTCATGCTCACCTACTTGAAATATTTGCTTACATCTTCTCTGGAATAAAGAATTCACCATGTATAATTGAAGGCAAAATAATTGAATAGGTTCAGCAAGAGGTTTTTTTTTTTGTTTTTAATGATAGCTGAACTCAGAAAAGCTGGTGTGGAGTTGTTGCACTGTTGCTATGAGTGACAGCCTGAAAGCACTCGGTATAAATCTCATCCCTTTCATGAATTTACTAAGAGGGTTAAGCTTTAAGCTGCCATCCATCTCTTGGCTTCAAAGATGTTTTCATACATTATTTTGGATCAGGATTCAGGAGGGCACCTGTTGTTGTAGCTTCTGATGGATTCAGCTGAAAGTAGAAATATAATCCAAATATCTTTGTATGCATACATGTTCTCTCCCCAAGATATAATATATGCAAAGGAAATTAGACAGATAGATAGTTAGATAGTTAGTTAGTTAGTTAGTTAGATAGTTAGATAGTTAGATAGATAGATAGATAGATAGATAGATAGATAGATAGATAGATAGCCCTGTTTACCTGAAAATAAGTTGGGATATGTAGGTTGCCCCCCTTTTCTTTGCAGTAGCCTCTTAGATATTGGAACACTGCTATCATATCATCTTCAGTCCTTCTTTTCATTAAACTAGACATACCCAATTCCTGCACCTGTTCTTCATGTGTTTTAGCCTCCAATCCCCTAATCGGTGTTCCGCTGCGCACTGAAGACCCTGTTGTTCCGCCAGGCAGGGCTGTCAATATAATAATTTTAAATTGGGGTATTTTAATTTTTAGGGTTTTAAATCGGCCAAATCTATTTAATTATTTTAATTTTTAATTATTGTTGTGTCTTGTGTTTTTAAATTGGCTGTATACTGCCCTGAGTCCTTTGGGAGAAGGGCGGTATAGAAATAAAATTATTATTATTATTATTATTATTATTATTATTATTATTATTATTATCATCATCATCATCATCATCATCATCATCATCATCATCATCTTTGTTGCTCTTTTCTGCACTCTTTCTAAAACAAGGGTGTCAAACTCAA